CTCTCTCAGCCTGTCTTCATAGGAGAGGTGCTCCAGCCCTCTGACCATCTGTCGCTCTCCTCTGGACCCGCTCCAACATTGGTTCTTCTGGTCTTGGGGACCCCAGAGCTGGATGCAGTACTCCAGGTAGAGTCTCACCAGAGCAGAGGGGAAGAATCACCTCCCTCGACCTGATGGCAGCATCTTTTGATACAGCTCAGGATACAGTTAGCTTTCTGGGCTGCAAGTAACACACTGCTGGGTCTTGTTGAGCTTCTCATACACCAATACCCCCCAAGTCCTGCTCCCCAGGGCTAGTCTTGATCCATTCTCTGCTCAGTGTTTGGGATTGTCTTGACACAGGTGCAGGACTTTGCACTTTGCCTTGTTGAACTTCATGGGGTTTACACAGGCCCCCTTCTCAAGCATGTCAAGGTGCCTCTGGATGGCATCCCTTCCCTCTAGGATGTCGACCCCCACACACAGCTTGGTGTCATTGGCAAACTTGCAGAGGGTGTGCTCAATCTCACTATCTCACCGACAAAGGGATAAAACAGTACCTGTCACTTTTACATGGTAGCCTTCTCTGCTTCAAATAGTATTTAAAGAGCCCATGCCATATAACACATGAGAAGTGGTGGTTCACAGAGTGTGTGGAATAGCTCTATCCCAAGGAAAAGATTTTTCCAAATTCCTGTTTAAAACAAGATCTGTCTTATTGGCTTGCTTTACTGTAACATCTTCTGGAAACAGTTCAATTCTTAGGCTTCACCTTTTATAAGGCATGAAAGAAAGCATCACTCCTATTGAGATTTTTCAAGACAATGTCTCTTTGGACTACGATAGACTACTGCTCATGTTTTACTTCTTTCAGCATTTTAGTCACTCTAGTCTATCCACACACCGACTAACACGCACACCAAGGCAGGATTTCCTGTTACTGTTCTATCTGGGTATCCCATTCCCCTCTTGCTCCTTTTTTTCACCTTGAGTGCTGGCGGCAATGCTGTAATTCTGACAAGTCCTGGAATTCAAGCTAGTTATCTGATCAATATAGGTGCAGAAGACCTCCAGGTTTGCAGAGAGTAGAGCCGAACACTGAAATGGACACATCTATTGGCTCATATAATTATCAGAATCAAATATTCAGGGTATTTTTAATCAGAGGAGGGTATTGACCTCTGGTTAGCATAAATTAAGATGACTGCAATAACATTCCTAAGCCAGAGTATCCACAAATGGCTTTCTTTCTGAAAATTATAACTTCATCTATATCCAAGCTCCTCAGTTAAAGACATCAACTGTGACAACAATGTAGCTGATGCTTAACCACTTGATGCTTAATAAGCAAGTTTCTTCAGAAAGTACATGCAACATATTAAAAGCACAAGTCAAAATACTGAGCTGTGTGAGCAGAAGTCAAAATACCAATCTATGTGAAAAAAGTATGTTTACATATTTCTAAAGGCAGCATTTGCTATTAAGTATTATTATAGCATACCTCTCTCTCCTACACAGACAAAAATTGCTGTAGGTGTTTAAAAAGAATATAATCTATTCACTTATACAAAATCTGCTTGTCCCTCACAGGTTAAGGGATTCCTGGCCTATCAGCAATCTTCTGCAGAACTCTTAATATTAAAAATTTTTGCTGCTTACACCGCAAGGGAGAAAGAGCTGACAAAAGCCTTTGGCCAGTGAGATCAAAATTGGGGATGGGGGGGAGAAAGGGGAGCTCAACTTATTTACATTTTTGCTTTGTTAGTAAACTGGAATGGTTGGAGCAGGAGGGAAAGGGAAAAAAAAAAAGGAGAAAAGTGAAATTAACAGCCACTAAATCTTCTGGCAACAGCAGTGCATTTTGATGATGTGCTGTGTCAGCTTTCACTAATGGTTTAGGGTTGAATCAGGCACAGTTCAAGACCCAAAGCGGTGCAGGGCATCACATCTCATTCTTTGGAAGAACACGTACCCTAATTATGAAGACGGCTACAAAATAAAGAGATCAGGATTTCTGGCAAAGCAGAATAATGATCTACTTAACAGGAAATCATAATGTCATTTTGAATCAGTACAAATCATAGAACAGTAGGATTTCAGCCCTGTAATGAACATGTGCCTCGACAAGAAGTGTTACTACTTCGAGAGAAAACCACCTTTCTGAACAAAAACCATCGAAGTTGCTTTTTCTGCTCTTAGGACTTAACCTCCCTTGTCTATTCCAGTAATGCAAATGGAAACAAAGGCTGTATATGTGTGTGCCACTTACCACACAAAATATCCATCCAGTATTTCAGAGAGCACAGGAAGGAAATGCCCACTGAGCTAGGGACGTGCCAATGTCAGTGCTGCCTGTGCCAGGCCATTCCTGTGAAATTCGTGGCGTGTGGCAGAAAGCAATGTGGGGTGGCAGGCCTGCGCTGGGGTGCGGAGACATCTTAAACAGGCAGTGGAAGAGAATCAGCCATTTGGGAGGTTTAATAGGGGTCTGTTTGTTTGTTTGCCCTTTTGATGTTAAATTAGTCTTCAATTTTGCTGCAAGGAAGGAGGCATTGGGAAAAGGATGCTTCTTTTCCAGTAAACCCTGGGAAAGCAACACCTTTATTTTAACGGCCTTCTCACCAAGAACCCCCTGCAACATTTTGGCTTTCCCTAGCTATAGCTATCAGCAACACAACAGCTGCTCATTTTACAATGACTTGCTGGAGAGAGAATGATTGAAAGAGCCAATCTATGTCACATTGAGAAGCTGTGGCACGACATCGCAGGAGGTAATAGGAGAGGAATGAGGTCAGAACAAACAAGGGTAGGGTGAGAACGGAGAGGAAAATAGCAGCAAACAAAATTATTAAAGGCAAGGTGCTGCACTACACAATCTATGTTTAAAAACAGCCACAACCTGAATGCTGCAAACAGCCACAGAAATGCAAACAAGCTCCATGTTATTTTTCACAGGGTCTCATGAATGCGGCTGATGATAAAAGCTACCAACGTCCTCGTAATGCAGCACAATGGTGGCAACACGCTTAGGTGAAAGCACAGTCTAATTCATATGGCGTGAAAGCCCCAGCACCCGGCGGCGACCCACTAATCGCAGGGTTTTAAATAGCAGCCTTGCTCGTGTCATTTTGAGCTTGAGAAACACAGCAGCAGCAGCAGCAGCAGCAGCAGGAGCAGCAGCAGTGATGCTGCCGCAGCTGCCCAGCTCCCCTCTGGAGAGCGCTGCGTTAGCTCACGCCTGGGAGTTCACCTTTGGCAAGAGAGCTGCAGAGCCCAGGAACTCGCCCACGACAGGGAAACAGCAGCAGCACATTTTGATTTAGTGCCATTGATAAAAATCCCTCCTGAGAAAGAACTGCTTTTGTGTTACCGTAGCAGACCAGAAGACCACCATGCAAAATGGTGGCAGAGTTTGTATGAAGAAGCAAAGCTTTTCACTAGGAGATTTACAAAAATGAGCTTTTGGGGCTCAGTTGAAGTGATGAAGTGACTGACTCTGACCTCTGAGCCCACACCTCTTCTATTTTTACCCCACAGGGATCAAGTGTTTTCATGAAAGTTATTACTTTCCCCTACACACTGTCTTATTCCCATCCCTACCTACCACAGCTACGATAAAGCTATTTTCAATGTCACAACATTTTTTCCCTATTCAGCAATCAGGCTGCTAAAATGCCAATCCATTTACTTGCCTAAATCTGACTGTGGGAAAATTGTTACCTTTCCAGCCAGGTGGACTATCTGGCTTCACTCAACACAGGGATGGACTTCTGCACCACATACTGGGAACTGCTCTGCAAATACAAAGCTACCCCACTGCACATAATGGAAATACTCTGGTCCTGACACTGTCCCCACTATTCCTGCCCCACCTGAACACGTGCTGCCAGTCAGAGCGGCTGGAGAGAAGAAATAACTGCAGGGTGTGCACACAACATCAGGGCTCGACACGCTCAGGCCACATTTAATACGCAAAATTCCTGTGTGCACTGAGTTTACACAAGCATCAACGTTTTACACAGATACCTTTGTATCTAATACCAAAAAACATGCTACTCACTGAATTTTAATCTGCGTTTGGTTTACAGCAACACTCAAGTCATCTAATGAAAAGGCACCACTGCTTTTGTCTCTTTTAACTGAGCTCCATGTTTATTATTTTGTGGTTTTGTCAGCAACTGATGTTATCCCTGGGGTAATGCCAGAACTCTCCTACTCTTAGGAATTCCCCATGTATTCAAAATGTCACAAAATAATCAAAAACTTGAGTATCAGAAAGAGAATACACTCCTTTGAAATACCAAATACACATTGCTGCCTGACCCCCTGCAAGAAACTTGTCAGATGGGTGGGGACAAGGTATGAACTGGAATTAATGCATGCTGCTTTTTTCTCCTGGGTACCTTAACAGATTTCCACAAATATCTGAATGTACACAAATGACTGTGTGTCATACTCTGTGTTGCACAAGACAGTGAGTGTCAAACATGCCACTGGTGTTGCAATTACTACTGGTACTACTGAATTCCTAGTAACTTGTTGACCTTTGCAAAAATTAAGAACTATCTATCTCATGCAATATTCTGTATGCATGTCCCAAAGTTACATTGTCACAATACAGGGTTGGAAAATCTGCCTCATCCTGCAGGTCTGAAACCACCATACAAGTTCAAGAGCCAAATCCAATAAAAATACACAGGTCAAACAAAAAGAATAATAGAGAGAAATATATGACAGATGGCACACAAACCAAATACAAACACTACAATCAAGTAATTGCACTGGTCAATGACAAAGACATCTATCAAACACCTAAGTGAAGTCAAGTTCAGAATTTTGGGCATTCAAGGGCTTGGCAGCTGAAGTTTAGATGGAGTTTATTCCTGCTCTAGGTATGCATTTTTTTGCAGAAAAGGGCCCTGAAAATGCAGGATTCTCAGAACTTGGAATACAGGAATATTTATTTATGTACTGAATAAACCTATCTACTGGTTTAATTTTGTTTGTTGGAACAAACTTACCTGGAATACTCGCTGGAGAAATGGGACCAGATCTTGACTGGTTGCTTCCAACAGGTGAACCTACAGGGGAAGGCGATGGGCCCCCAGGGATGCCAGAGAGATGTGGAGAAGCATGAGGAGAGAACGGAGACTGTGCAGGATTGCTCTGCTCCCCTTGGCTGCTTGTAGAGCCTGATGCACTAACGGCTGAGCTCAGGGTTGCTTCAGTTCCAGTCGGCAAGTCATCAATGGATCCAGATAAATCCTGAGGAGAAAGGAAAAAAGAACGTAAGTGGTTGCATGAGCTAATACTCAGGCCACAGGACTCAAGAGCTGGCATGGCAATGAGGTCCATTTGTTTACTTATTGCAGCAGATAACTGAGAAGTTGTCTTTAATGTTGTTTCACGTACTTAAATGATGGCAGAAAATGAGGATAGTATGCACAATTCTCTGCTTAATCTCTAATTCTTTTGAGAAATAGAACAAGCAAGGGCAACAAATGAATTGGAACCAAATTCACTCAGCAATGAATTTAACCTTTTCCATCTGGATTAAGCTTTCAAAATTAATCCCACTAATTCTGCCTGAGCATACCAAAACTAATGAAAATGATACATCAGTTTCACTTTCACACAGTATTTCATTTTGGGGTTTGCTACCGTTATAATCACAGCTTATACACTTCGCTCTTTAAACTGTTACCACGATGAGAGAAGAAGGGTGTTAAATTTGCAGCCCTTCTAACATTCTATGCAGCTCCTTTGCCTTGCAGAACAGACATGGGAAGAGGCCCTGCCTGCAGCAGCAGCACAGGACCTGCTGGGCACCGGGGCAAGGAAGGCTGCTTCTCCACTGCCACCAAATACCAGTGCACAGCTCAGAGTTTCTCTTCAATTTGATCTAAACAGACTGCTAAACAGTTACAGCTTTTCAGTTCATAACAGCTACATTTTCAGTGAGAAATTTCCTCTGTAGGTCACAGCATATCTGAATTCTAACTATGAACTGCTGGACATATTCCCTGAAGCTGTAATATGTGAGTTATACTGGTTTTGGATCTGTGGGACCACTTTGGTTTCTTAAATAAGTGAAAGATCAGATATGAAAAATCAAGAATGCTGTGACAAAGCAAGCACATGCCCCACAACTGTCAGGAAAAATGTCATTTCCTAAGCATCCCAGAAAAACCTCATACAAACTGGAAAGTGCCAAGATGGCTGTGCTTCTGTGGCTATGGGCAAGGCACATGTTAAGGAGCATGTTACTATTTCTATTAGCAATTAATGCACAAACAAGAGGCAGAGAGCTACCTCAGGTGTAAAACAGGTCATTAAATGGTCTTTGAGGCTTCCAGTAACTGGGATGACAGAGCGTGTTACTTTGCCTGATACTGACTTCACTTGTTCAGCTCAACCAAGTGGTTGCACCATAGACAATGGGACCCATCATCTGAATAGCATAAAAAGAACTGGACCATGCCTCAGCAAAGAGTTCAGGAAGAAAAGCCTTAGTGCTGCCTACAAAATATACTTTTTTAGAAGTTACAGAACATGGATGAAATGCATGTGGTGTACTTAGAGTAAGATTCCTGCACAATGTTGACCACCTCCGTCACAAGGCAGGCTCACAACCAGTCTCCCCTAACAGACAGATACAGTCAGTGTTCCAAGGCATGGGAAGAGTAGGATTAACAGTTTAAGCACCAATAACATTCATTAGAAGCCACCTAGAATGCTACATGTTATTCCTCCTCATGCATAAGGGTAGTAAATACAACCCACCCAACTTTGCTCTGGGCTGGACATGTTGCAGACCTTATTTCCAATGGATTTCCACAAATACTTCGAGAACAGCTCTCACCGCAGTTAAATTTTGCTTTTCCTGACAAGCATGAAATTGTATGCGTATTTCATTAAGCATATGAAAAGCAAAAATTAAGCCTGAAACTTCAGTCTATATGTGGACACTACATTCACTCAAGAGTAGACTTCCAAATCCCTACAAATGGAAATTTAATTGTGAAACAGGCAATAAACTATCTTCATTGTTTCTTTCGTCAAACTATTAACTGCAGAAAATGTAAACAAGAAATAACACTGCTTGGTACTGTATAGAACAACGCTAGACATTTTTCATAGTAGAATGTATCTGGCAAACAGGTAAGCAATTACAGCTTTTCCATACATAATATGGTATTCTTCTAAATGGAATCAAATTGCTGCTGTCGTGATGTGTAACAAATGCTGCAGGAAGTGCTGATAAAACAAATGCTGCTGAAAAGTATATAATAAACCCCTGAAAACCGAATGTAGCAGAATAGAGCCTATTCTAATGGAATACAAATTCTGTGCAAAAAACCAGATAGGCATCCAGTAGATAGAAGATATAGAAAACACACAGGTTTACGTTTAGAAGAACATAGATTTTAAAAGGGTGTGTTGAGTAAAGCTTTCATTTGTTTCATCAAGCTGCAAAGTACTTGAAAAAACAAATTTGTCAGAAAACCCATGAAGCAGTTAGCATTGTCCATGATGAAATTATCTGCAGACTAAGGCAAAACTTGGGGATAGGAATGAAGTTCACTTTTCCTATCAGGTTGAATCTGATTTTTCCAGCCTCCCGTGAGGGTGGAGCAACTGATGAGTCCCGGACATCTCCTCAAATGCCTGCCTTCCAGAGATTTCCTCACCAACCCGATGCAACTCCTTCACAAATGTGGAAAAGAAAGAGAAAAGCTTGCATGACACCAGTCTATTTAAAAAGCGAGGCCATGCCACCCTCAAGCAGTGCATGCTGAGGGAGCAGCCTGGCAGGCACAGCACACCCACAGAGCCTTGTGCTCCCCACATGTGCCCAGTGTTAGCACTGGGATTTTCTCCCAGGAATGGGGAACTCCACTACCAACTCATTGGCTGAGGATGCTGTGGCAGCTTTCATTCATCAGACCCATCAAGAAAGGCAAGAATGAGGCTGCTCTCAGGACGGCAGGAAAGCCTGTTGCCTAGCTAGATGCCTGGGCTGCGCTACACAACCTCCTACCTTGCGTTACAGACGGCTAAAATGAGAAGTATCAGCTGTTCTGTACAGGGTGTTTTGAGGTTTTTTTAAATTTATTTTTGTTTGTTTCTTTGGGTTTTTTGGTGTTTCGTTTTGGGGTTTTTTTTTGTTAACATACACTTTGAGGCCTTACCTAGTCTTCTAAGGTAGAAAGCCTGAGGAGGTGAGCAACTGTGAAACTTCCAGCACACAAAGGCTTTAGAAACACCTCTGTTATCCACAAAAGCTAATTGGGAAATTAAAGAGAAGGAGAAGAAAGACTTTATGTGACGCACCCAGACAGAAAGAGCAGAAGTCGACTTACTGTTCTCCTATTATTGGTATTTTAATGCTTGCTTTTACCTCATTTTAACAGAACAGTAATGAAGTCTTGCTAATTCTACATCACAAACTTTTATTTATATATGAAATACTATACATGTACACATTAGATACGTAAATTACATGGATACACTTGCATTTACTTAGCATATCCATATGTAAAGCTATTAAAAAGCCTACTAATAAGAGAAATTCGCAGCGGTTTAAGCATACGGCCTAGTTAACAAAGAAGCTCTGTAACTAATACTCCTCTAGAGGACAATTTAGTCAGCAGGGCACCAACTCTATTCTTCTTTTATAAGTACTATCAGATCTATGATGCCTGTAAAGAACAGAGAGACCTTACTTACTGCATCTCATTCAAACCAAGGCACCTTCAAGCTACAGTGCTTCCATTTATCTTGTTGGAAAGTTGGCAGGTTAGGTAATTGCTGGGATTCTTTTAAGGGGCTGAAGTCCCCATACCCTAAGGCATGCCTTAAATTTTGCCTCTTTTCAGAGGCTTTTTCTGGAAAGTACTCGTTTCTTCTAGTAAAATGCAGTAAATTAAGAATTACTAGAAATCTCATGTTTCTTATAGATCTGTTTCTTGTAGAACAATCTTACTATTTTTATCTATGGTATTGTTACAACGCTATTTTCAAATATGACATCAAATCTAAGAAAAAAATGAAGGACAAAATATTCCCCCCTGTTGTCACAAATCCGTTTTGCCATTCCGTATTCTGTAAGTCAGCTTTACATCCTGTATTATTCAGGACATCTCAAAGAGCTTTCAAAGTTAATTTCTAGATAATACCTTGATTACAAACTGAAAAGTTCCCATGCAGGATTTATCTCTTTTAGCAAAGTGTTTTATCTCCAACTATCTTCACGTCTAGCCTCACCTTCCACCTATGCATGACCTTTTTTCTTGTCCCTCTGACAAGTACAAGAGCTGAAATGAACAGGATCACATTGTGCTTGGGATTATAATGTTATGCCTTCCCGGTGGTATGATCTTATCAGACTGACAGGAGAGACACTCGTGAAACAGCACACCAATTTACTACTACAATGTGGGCAGCAAGGGGTAGAAGGAAGCAAAGTGCTTATACAGAGCCAGGAAACCCAACGTTACTTACAAAGGGAGCACAAGGGAAAAAACCAACAAACACCCATATATAATTTAACAATGTTAACTCACTTAAGGAATACACTTAGATTCAATAAACAAGGAAAACGGAGACTACTGTAGCTCAGTAATGCCACCACAGTTTTTCACACTGAGCATGACAGGATTGCAGCATTCACCATGGAGCAAAAATTTACACTGCAAACACTTCATGCAGTTGCTAGTTTTGCTCAGCAATGTCTCAGCAGACATAAAGCAAGATTTTACTAAAGGGATCCCTTGCTAAATACTTACAGCTGAAAAAGGATGAACACGTTCTACAAAATCAGTAAAAAGAGAAAATGTGGGGCACCTTGCTAACACAGCTCCTACACCACTAAATTACACCCTAAGTTCACTAAGAAGTTACTGCAGTTTGGGGATCTCTTGCAGGGATTGTGTGGAGCACATACAACCTGTGATTTATTTTAACTTCCCAACTATTGCCTACTGGTTCCTTTATGCTCAGGGAGCAGAAGAAAAGCAGAGCTATTCTGCAGATATTAAAATTAAAGACACACAAAACCTCTTGGTCTCCAAGAAGCTGAAACCCCCAGAATCTACCCTACCATCCTTTTTGCGAGCATGAATCTCAGTGCTATGTGTAGGGACCTGCGGCAACTGACGGGCTGCAGGATCAAAGCCCTGCTCATTCCATTCAGGCCTTGCTGTGGTATTGCATTGGGATGGAGGATGGTGCTGCTCAAAAGACAGGATCCTGCATGAAATATC